CCAAAGAATTGATGCTTTTGAACTGTGGTGTTGGAGAAGACTCTTGAGAGTCCCTTGGACTGCAAGGAGATCCAACCAGTAGATCCTAAAGGAAATCAATCTGAATATTCATTGGAAGGACTGATATTGAAGCTGAAACTCCAATACTTTGGCCACCTGATGCAAAGAGCTGACTCATTGGAAAAGACCCTGATGCTGGGAAAGATTGAAGGCAGGAGGAGAAGGGGGCAACAGAGGATGAGATGGTTGGATGGCATCACTGAATCAATGGACATGAGTTTGAGTAAACTCTGGGAGATGGTGAAGGACAGGGAAGCCTAGCATGCTGCAGTCCATGGGGTTAAAAAGAGTGAGACATGACTTAGTGACTGAACAGCAACAAAAATATTGCTATAGTGGATATTCTGTAGTTAATCTTTGTACAACTCTGAGGGTTTTTGGGTATAAATTACTAGAAATGAAAGACTAATCGGATTTTTACATCTAAGTTCATCAGGGATAAGAATTTATATTTTTCTTTTCTTGGAATGTCTTTGTCAACTTTTCATATCAAGGTTATCCTGGCCTCATAAAATAAGTTGGAAAGTGTTCCTTCTTCTGTGTTTTGAAAGAATTTGTGTAGGATTGTTACTTCTTTCTTCCTTAAATAAATATTTGATAGAATTCACCAGTGGAAAATAAAATAAAATAAAATAGCCCTATTGATTAATTTCAACATATTACAAGACTGAGAGCTGCCAGACAACTTTTGAGTAATCAAGCAAAGAGACATTACATCCATAAAGAGAACACTTGGACAATCAAAAACATTTCATCATGGCTGGCATTAAGAGAAGCATAAAGATCTTTTCAAAATTCTCCAGGATTTAAAATCAGTTTAAACATCACATTTTAGACTTAGAAAGGATACTAGAGGGTGAATTTTTAAATCTATGACCTAAAACTATTTTGTAGACTAAGTAATGTCTTTTTATGCATTTGCTTTATTAGAAACTGCAAAGTACAGAATTGAGTCTATTTACCAATATTATTCATAATGTTAACTAGTAAAGCAAATATTTCATGACATCTAGTCTTATTTAAACATAATCAAGCCACAACACTTTTCTACTCAAAATCGTCTGATGGCTTCCTCTTTCACTTAGGGTCAATGACCACATTTGTTTTAGAGAACAGACAAAATCTGACACCTGCTTGATGTCCCTGTACCTGAACACATCAGCTCATGTGCCACCCTGCCCATAATCTCTGCTCCTGCTTCTCTGGCCTCTGCTACCCTGGAAACTTTGTACTCATCTGTTTGAACGTGAAAGTGTTAGTCATTCAGTCATGTTCTACTCTTTACGACAACATGGACTGCCAGCCTTCTCTGTTTAGCTGGCTTCAAATTTTCTCCTAGAAGTTCTTGCATTCACCCTCAACCCCTACCATTCTCATGAAATTCGTGGACAAACTTCATCTTCCCAATGAGACCTTTTCTGGTGTTTAAAATTGGGACCACATTTCAACTGTAATTGCTATTTACAGTTCTAACTCCATTCCCACCAACTTCACTCCTGATCCCACTTCCGGCTCTATGTCAACAGCATGTATTCTGGCTGTACACCCTCTAGTAGAATTGAGTGCAGGGAATTTTATTCTTGTTTTCTTCATGGATTCATTCACAAAATTTAGACGGTATGTGACATATATTAGGCCTTCAAAATTATGTGCTGAATAAATGGGTAAATAAATAAATACAACTCTGTATCTTAATGTGATACAATCTTCATGACTAGGATCAAATAAGCAAAAATTATTTTTATTAGGAATAGATGATATATTTCTACTTCTGTATTTATGAATGCATTTTAAGTAAAATTTATGCTGTAATATTTGTTTTCCTGGGTTCCGATCATAACTCTCAGTAATGAAATAGCAAAATAAGTGCATCAAGTAAATTTCAGAAATATTTACTCAGGCTAATATTGTTGTACTCTTTTTTCCTATAACATTTTGTCTATCCAGATAATGCATTAGCTATAGTTTAAACACTGATTAAGATAGTATGACAATGTATATAGGTTATTTCATTTATTTAGTGTTCTAAACTATGAATACAGAGCACAAGAAGTAAGTATGATATACATACTGGAAAAATAAATTGCTGAACAACAAGAAAAATAATTATGATTATCCTCATTTTCAAGAAAAATTAAAGATAAATATATCTTATTATTTTTAAAATAGACATTCCTTGGTATTTATTAAAATAATACATTAAGATGATTTAATTAGATATGTAAAAAGTTTTAATCTAATATCTAAAAAAAGTAGAAGTTAGAAAACTATAGTAATTTTAATTTTATCTAGTATATATTATATAATATATTAGAATCATAGAAACTCCAGGTGTAGGAAATTAGTTATAGAGTACCTTTAACAAAAATTTCCACGCGAAGTAACATTTTTTAACACACTGGAGGCTCAGGTTGTGATTGAAAATGTATTTTTCAAGGAATTTTCCTTTCGTCCATTTGTCGTATAGACTGAAATACTAAATCGTTTTCTTTTCTCAATTGCGTTTTTAGGTTGTATTCAGTTGGTGGTCGTGATGGAAGCTCCTGTTTGAGTTCAATGGAATATTATGATCCTCACACAAATAAGTGGAATATGTGCGCTCCAATGTGTAAGCGGAGAGGGGGTGTTGGAGTGGCCACATGTGATGGTTTCCTTTATGCAGTAGGAGGTCATGATGCTCCTGCTTCAAACCACTGTTCTCGGCTACTAGACTATGTAGAAAGGTGAGAACCCAATGCACTGTTAAAATGAAAGACAGGATGTAAATTACATTGATACCTAATGCAAGTGACCATATCAACAAAATATGCCCAATCTGCCTAAGATAAGAAAGTTAATTCAACTCCTAGAGCTATTTCATTAGTTTCTTTCTTTCTCCTTCTCTTTCTCCCTCATGCTTGTGTATCACACACACACACACACACTATATTATGTATTATTTTTTCTTTCCTCATCCTCGCTTCTTCCCTACTTCTTTCTTTATTTCCTTCTTTTTCAACTAATATTTCTTGAAACCTTACAATTTTCTTCACATAATCCTAAAGTAATCTTTATTTAAACTTCTCAAGAATATACTTTAAAATTTCATTTAAAATAAAGCTGTATTTTTTAAATGTATGAATGCTTGTTAATTTTCTTTTAAAAATTGAATATTTCATTTATTTGTTTTATTTATCCTGTCTTATTGGTTCTACTACTCTCTTCAAATTTGCAAAGATGAATTATGAGCTTTGTTTAATGCCATACCTTTTGCAATGTAAGACAGATTTATTAGAACTGTATTCTCTATGATCTTATAGATCCTCTTTTAACTCTTCCTAAAAATGGCACGTGCACAGAGTTTGGAGTGAAAAGTCACCTTGGCCTCAGTCTTCGTCCAACAATGGACACACTTCTGACATGGTTATAACAAAGTTCTCTTTCATAGCTGCACATCACTTAGCAATATTATGTCATGCACAGTAAGAATTACAGAGACTTATAGTGATATTTATATTTTCAACTGGACATGGAACAACAGGCTGGTTCTACATTGGGAAAGGAGTACATCAAGGCTGTATATTGTCAACCTGCTTATTTAACATATATGCAGAGTATATCATGAGAAACACTGGGCTAGATGAAACACAAGTTGGAATCAAGATTACCGGGAGAAATATCAATAACCTCAGACATGCAGATGCCAGCATCCTTATGGCAGAAAGTGAAGAAGAGCTAAAGAGCCTCTTTTTTTTTTTTTTCAAATTTATTTTAATTGGAGGATAATTACTTTACAATATTGTGATGGCTTTCGCTGTACAACAAGATGGATTGGCCACAGGTATACATGTGCTCCCCCAGCATCCTGACCCCCTTCCCCTCCCTCCCCAACCTATCCCTCTGGGCTGTCCCAGAGCAGGGGCTCTGGGTGCCCTGCTTCATGCATCCAACT